AGGGTAAATGAGGTCATAAGGGCGGGGCCCTAATCCAATGGGACTGGTGTCCTTATAAGAAGAGGAAGGGACACCAGGAGTGCTCTCGCATAGAGAAAAGCCGTGTGAGGACATGGGGAGAAGATGGCCATCTGCAAGCCAAGGAGAGAGGCCTCAGGAGCAACCAACCCTGCCCACACCTTGATCTTGGACTTCTAGCCTCCAGAACTGTGAGAGAATAAATTTCTATTGTTCAAGCTGCCCAGTCTGTAGGAACTCTATTATGGCGGCCCCAGCTGACTAATACACGCTCGCCACGTGCATTGCAGTATCCTCCAGCAGACATCTAGAGAACTAATGTTCCTCCTACCACTTTAAAATAAAGACGTACTTTAAAAGATTGAAGTAGAAAAAGATGAGGAGAAAAGTAACACTTTTGAGAACCCACTATTTGCCTGGCATGACATACAGGATGCTGGTTGTTGGTGCTTGTTCAATATCCAGCCTCCTTCTTCTAGTAAGAGTCCCTCGAATCTCCTCCAAGAAACACTCCTGCCCTCACTCTCAGTGTGGGGGCTGGAGGTTGTCATGTCTCCACCCCACAGTGGCTCCAGGAATGGGCACATGGCACAGTACTTTGAAAGTGCATTAAAATGCTATTTGCCAGGATTTCTTGGCTTTGGCACTATTAACATTTGGGGCTGGAAAATTTGATGCTGTGGGAGGTAGTCCTGTGCCTTATAGGAGGTTTAGCAGCATCCTTGGCCTCTATGAGATGCCAGTAGCACCTCCTAGCTGTGACAACTACAAATGCCTCCAAACATTGTCAACGTCAATGTCAAATGACATTGTCAAATGTCCCCTGATGGGGCAAAATTGTCCCTGGTCGAGAAGCCCTGAGGGCATGCACCCTCACTCAAGAAAATGAAGATTCAGGCCTGGTACTTGTACTAGAACTACCGGAAGAAGAAGTTTGCACTGGGGATGCTGAGCAGGGACAGTGTCACCATGAGCTGCTGGGGCCATCTTTGTCCCACATGGGGACACGATCTGCGCATGAAGCCAACACACAGCAAGGCAGAGCCAAGAGACAGAGAAAACAGATTTTATTGCGATATCATTTGAGCTACTGGATTCAACCGAGTTATATTTCAGCTATGTGAGCCAATTAATTCTCTTTTGGGCCTAAGCCAGTTTGATTTGGATTCCTGTTACAGGTATTCAAAAAGCTTCCTGAGTGACAGGAGACATTCCATAAATATTATCCCATTCAACCCCATAGCTGCTCTCTCAGGCGGGTTTGCTTATCTGAGCTTTACAGATTTAAAAATTAAGGACCACGTCAGCTGCCTCTTCTTGTATCTCTACTGCCCACTCACAGCACTCCCCACAGTCATAATGACTCACAGGATGAATCCTTCAGGGCCTGCCTCCCCCGCCAGAGCAGCAGCCCTGGGCAGCAGGCATTGAGCTCTTGTTTTTCACTGACACCCAAGTGCCAAAAACAGTGCCTGGCTCCTGGTAGGTGCTCAAAAATGTTTGCTGAATGGGTGGACGTGGCTACATGGCTTGCCCAAGAATCTGACCCAGCATCTGATTTCAAAGCCCATGTGAGTTTCCCTGTGCTTTCTTACATATTTTCTCTGCTATGCTCCAAAGGGAAGAACAAATGATATGTGTAAGGAAGCCAATTTCAGTGAAATTTAAATGACATAGTCACAATTGGCTCTGCTGAGGGATGGAATGACCCACCTCAGGAAGAGCTAATGATGCTGGTGATGGGGGTGACAACGATGATGCTAGCGAACATAAGTTGGATGCTGACTCTGAGACAATCTCTGAGATGAACACTTTATATTCACCATCTCATTTAATCTTCATGACAACCCTCTGACGTGGCCATTACTTGACCTTCATTTTACCGTGAACGAGGTGAAGCTCAGAGAGTTTGCGTAACTCACACACGGCTCTGTGAACTGTGAGCATCAGAGCCCAGACCTGAGGCTGGGCCTGTAGCCAGCGTCCGTGCACCAACATGGTCACTGCCCTGTCTCATGAGGGAAGGAGGGTTCTGTCACTAGAGCCATGCAAGCAGAGGATAGATGACCCCAAATAAAAGGCAAGGATACAATCAGAATTCTCTATGGCCCAGAATTCTCCAAGCCAGAGACTCCAGGAGACAAGAAACCTGCATCCCTGACACCAGATAATGGGGGGCTCATCTCCAGAGAAGGTTCCTGGTCCCTTATGCTTTCCTGTCCTCACCTCTCTCCCACATAGTCCAATATGCCCTGGCCCGGATCAGCCCCACAGCTAGACCTGTGGAAGACCAGGCCCATCTGACTCCAAGGACCCCCAGCTCCATCCAAACTTCCCTCCCAGTCACACGTTTCAGCCCCTTCCATTGGACCCCGCCCACGGCTTGCACACTGAGCCCAGCCTCCACTTCCCCTGAACAGCCCCTACGGGGGATGAACAACGAGGCATCAAGAAGCAGTTGCAATCACACCACGTGATGGGAAGAGTGCAGGCTTGTGGTCAACCAGACCCGGGTCTGAATTTCAGGTCAACTGCATTCTTTGTAACCTTGAGCAAGTTGCTGGGCCTCTTGGGGCCTTGGATTCATAATTTGTAAAACAGGGACAATAATACAAACGAGAGTTATAAGAAGCAAATGACATATCGTATATCAAGCATGGGTATGTAGCCAGAGGTGAGAAATGGTAGCCTTCTTTAATTTTTGCCCCTTTTCCTCCCAACAGAGTTACGACTATTCAAGCTGAGACTTCATCCCAATTCAACTTTTACTCCCATAACGATGAAAAAAGGAATTGGCAACTGCTTGGGCAATAACAACCACACCCTTTGATCTAATCTCTCTCGTCCTAGGACTTCACCATCACTTAGAAATTCAGTGTGTTTCAAATGCATGTTCTCTTTCGCTTTTTTTGCTGCCACGTTGTTGAGGGTAGTAAAGCCACTTTTATTGCCTTCATTTTACACGTGGGAGAAGTGCTGGCTGAGAAGTGAGGTGGCAAAGTCCCATGGCCCCAAGCACTTGCCGGGTCACGGCATCCCGACCCTGATTCCAGCGCTCCTCTCCCCGTACCACGTGCTGGGGTTCAGAGCCTCCTGATGGGGCATCCCTGGTGTACAAGTGCCACAGTCAGATGTAAGACAGGTATACATCACAGGCCACAGAGCCTGAGGCTGGGGTGACTCCATCTAACAGGGACAGGAAAGGGGCCTGGGGTCAGAGCCTGGCTTGGGCCAGAGGCTTAGCAACAGTGCCTCAGAGACCCTGGCCACTGGTGCCAGGCTGGGGCCAACCGGTCACTTCCCTGTTGTCAACAGCTGTGGCTTTTACAACACCACTGCCAGCAGGACCCTAATTAGATCTGCTTGGCATAGTGGAAAGGTCATGGTGCTGTGCACCGTGTGAGCTGGCTGAGCTTGGCAGATGCCCTAACCTCTCTCAACTCCCAGTCTCCATCTATAGACCCTACAGACAGAGACAATTAAACAAGAGAGTGTGTGTGAGTGCCTGGAGCACTGGGGGACCTTAGAAAAGGGCAGCCTTCACTGCATTATGCAATAGTTGTGCTTCCTTGGTACTGAGTTCCCATTAGTTACTGCCCTGGAAGTGGCCTTGGGGACAAGGAAAATGTCACCACCTCCCCTACCTCACCGGGGTACCACAGACCTTCATGAACACCACATGGATGTTTTCAGGATGGCTTCTTGTCCCAGCCTTTGGAGAGCCTGCTCTGAAACACCATCAGTTCTAATTTGCTCCTTGTTGGGGATGTGAGGCCAAGTGTAAAGGAATGGGTAGCACCTTTCTTAATAGTGTGTCTGGAGCCCCAAGGACTGGGGGGATGTCCTGGGATCTGTTGAATCTCCTCTCCAATTCAGGTCAAGCAATATGGAGTTCTGTTGAAGACCTACTAGGTATGGTTGTCAAGGTGATGATGATGATGATGGTAAATAATATGGTAAATAATAATAGCTTCTATTTATTGAGCTAGTGCTAACAGGCCATTCTCCTTCCATTTATTTTCTCTAACCTTTAGAACGTTCCCTGCAAGGTAGGAATAATTGTCTCCATTTTACAGATGAGGAAACTGAGGTCCAAATACATTAAATGATTTGGCCAAGCGCACACAGCTAGTAAGGGGAAGACTCATGATTCAAGTTCAGACATGAATGCTCCAGAGACTCTACTTTTTCCACCAACACCTCAGTATCTCCCAGGAGGTTATGAGCAAGGATACAAAGAAAATGTTTAGGGGAATTTATTGATAAATCATTCTGATCTGAGAGAAGTCTTTATGACAAAAATAAGTGAGGGATGAACCTCATGAGGTACAGTGGATCTGATTGGAGAGGGCACAATTGGAAAATTGCAACATGAAGTTTTTGATACTCACTGCAGCCATATTTGTAATGTAAGAGATTTGAAATAACCTAAATGTTTATCAAAAGGAAACTGGTTAAATAAATTACCATCCAGTCATATAATGGAAGACTGTCTAAGCACCTGATTTTTTAAAAAGCAGAGCTGTATGTACTTATGTGGAACAATCACTAAGACACTGTGCTGACTTCTCCATTTGCTCCACACCCAGATCCATCTCCTCCCTCCCTGCCCTGCTCTGCGCCCTGGGACCTGGTCCTCCTGGACTACATCAGTGAGGCTCCTGGTGTTTCTGGCTTCCACTGGGGTTTGACCAATGAGAGGCACCAGCAGCAGATTGGGGGCGGGAGGAGAGAGAATATAGGGTTCTGGGGTAGCCCATTCCCTCCGCAACCTCAGCTCCTGCTCGCCAGCCCATCATCTACAGCTCCACTTCTCCTTGGACTCTAGTGCCCTATTTCCTCCTCTTGCCCTTCTGGCATTAACAGCTCTCCAGTTGCGCTGTCTGAGTGGAATTCTGTTGCCTGCTGGGATCCTGACTGTGATACAGACATATTCTGAGCATTACAGACGGCACCCCCAAACAGAGTCAGCCCCCACTGACCTCCCAAGAAATTTTCCAATCAGCTTCACCATCGATGTGCCCACGAGTCCACCGATGGCGAATATGGACACGGTCACAGACCAGAGCAGAGTCAGAGTGTCCGGGTCTATTGGATGTCCGTGCCTTCTTTCCCACGACTCATTGTAAAAGGCCTTGATGTACTGAAAACAAACAACAAACCGTGTTAGTGCTTCTGTTCCATCCTGCTGCTTGAAGCCAGCCCCCAGTGCATAAATAAAACAGCTTTCATAGAGCACTCTCTTCATGCGAGGCACTTTGCTAAGTTCTATTTGAGCTTTATTTCATTGAACCTTTCTAACAAATTTGTGGATGGGCCCTATTTTTAGCTTATTTTGCAGATAGGGAAACTGAGGCTCAGAGAAACAAAGTGACTTGCTCAGTTAAGCAGCAAACTTGGGAGTCAAACTCAGACCTGACTCTGAATGTGGGATAACCATTATACCCAGGCTTCTCCAACTTTGGTGCACGGCTAATTCACATAGGAAATGGGTTAAAAATGCATGCATCCAACATAAGAGAAAATCTTTGCATCTTGGGTAGACAAAAATACAAAACACACACAAAAAAACACTAACCATAAAAGAATAACAAACAAACAAACAAGAAAAGCATTTGGATTTCACCAAAATTCAAGTGTTCTTCTCTTCAGAAGACACCATCAAAAAATGAAAAGACAAGGACCTGGCCCACAGGGCTGGCCCGGTGGCACAGTGGTTAAGTGCGCGTGCTCAGCTTCGGCGGCCTGGGGTTTGCAGGTTCGGATCCCAGGCACGCACCAACGCACCACTTGTCAAGCCATGCTGTGGCGGCGTCCCATATAAATTAGAGGAAGATGGGCATGGATGTTAGCTCAGGGCCAATCTTCCTCAAGAAAAAAAAAGGGGAGGATTGGCATCAGATGTTAGCTCAGGGCTAGTCCTCTTCACAAAAAAAAAAAAAAGAGAAGAGAAGCCACAGACTGAGCTAACATATTTGCAACACATATAACTACAAAGGACTTGTACCCACAATATATAAAGAACTCTTCAACAGGAAGACAAACAACCCAAATAAAAATGAGTGAAAGAGTTGAACAGACTCCAAAGAAAATTCAAATGATCAGTAAGCTACTGACATGATGTTCGACATCATTAGTCAACTGGGAAATGCAAATTAAAACCACAATGGGATACCCACTTCACACTCACCAGGTCTCCATTGCTGTCAATTCTGACTCAGTGGGTTTGAGATGGGGACTAGGTGATTCTGATGTGCACCAAAGACTGAGGTCATGGCACTAAGCTCCCCAAGAGAGTTTCATCCCCAAAATGTTCATAGTTACCCACTGCTACCCAATGTGGGCCCACAAATCTATCCATAGCTGGCATATGACATTGCAGAAAAATCATAGGTTCAGCTTGTACAGATTTGGGCTTGAATCCCAGCATCATGATTTGCTAACAATTTAAAACAGCCGGACCTTGGCTTCCTCATCTGCAAAATGGGAATGATGACACTGACATCTCAGCGTTGTTGTGAGGGTCAAACAAGAGCTTGGAGCAGTGCCCAGTACTTGGGTAGAGCTCTCACAATCCCCAGGAGGCTAAAATTAACAAGTCTGATAAGACCAAGTAGCGCTCAATCAGCAGTGTGTACACTCAGGTACTTATGGGGGGAGTTTAATTTGTCCAACCATCTTGGAAAACAGTTTGGCATCATCTAGTAAAGTTAAAGATGCTTCTAACCTACAATCCAGAAAAATCCATTTCTAGAAAATTCCTCTAAAAAACTCTTTCCCACTTGCCCTGGGATACATCTACTCAAATGTCCATGGTAGTGTTGCTCATTACAGCCCCAAACAGGAACCAACCCAGATGCCCACTTAGAGTAGAATGGAAAAACAAATTGTGGAATAGTTATAATATGAAACACTACAGCCACAAACATGAATGAGCTATAGCTACGTGCAAACACACATAGTAAAATCTCACAAAAAATAACATCGAACAAAAGAAGCCAGAGACAAAGGAATACAGTATAATTCCATATATAAAATTCAAAATTATGCAAAATTAACGTTTTGGGGGAATTATATAAAGATTGTAAAACTACAAAGAAAAGCAAAGAAATAATTATTTTAAATGTCGGTCAGTGGTCACCTCTGGGAGATGGGGAAAGAAAGGATCGGGAGGGGCATTTGGCCGGACCTTCTATTCTTAACCTGGATGGTGGTTACCCAGGTGCTAGATTTATAATCACTCATTAAACTTTAGGTGTGTGTGTGTGTGTGATACGTATGTGTGTATGTTATATACTCTTTTGTAAGTATCATATGTTTCACCATTTAAAAACTTAAAAAAAAAAGTAAGGTGGAAAAGTGTTCCAGGCAGAGGGAAAAGCATGTGCCAAGACTACACAGCAGAAGAAAGCTTGGCACGTCCACAGAATTGAAGTAAGCCAGTGGCCGTGGGATGGGACAAGTAAGAGAAAGAATGGGCTGCATGGAGTTGGAGGAGCAGGAAAGGGCAGGTCACATGGGGCCTGAGAGGTCATTGTAACGAGTTTGCTTGTTATTTGGATTTTTTTTAGATGCAGTAGGAAACTGTTGGAGAGATTTAAGCTAGGGGAGGACATGCTGTGGTTTGCCTTTTCAGGAGACCCCTTCAGCTTCAGAGTGGCGAGAGGATTAGAGGGCAGCTAGAGAGGAGGCTGGCACCCTGCTGGGAGCCACTCCAGCAGTCCAAGATCACAGGGGCCTGGACCAAGCAGTGGAGATGAGGGAAAGAGATGGATTTGAGACACGTTTTGAGAGTAGAATGGACAGGACTAACTGGGTGATTGGCTCCCGGTTTGGGGAGGGGGTGTGTTGGAGATGGCGCAAGAGGAACACAGCAGACGGCCAGGTTTCTGGCTTAAGCAAACAGACTGATGGTAGGAGATGAGGACAGGAGGGGTAGCACCCTCTCTCTGAGAGGTATTTATCCTCTTTCCCTTTTCTCTCTCTTTCTGGCTCCATAACTACCTTGCTCATAGTAAGGAGGGAGGCCAGAATGTACTATCAACAGCTAGAGCTATTCCTAAGGATGGTGAAGTTTCCACGCCTTCGTACACAAGACACTCTGTCTGCCAATATCCACTGATTCACTCAACAAACACGTGTTGAGTACTGGGACCTGAGCTGGACACAGAGATAAACTAGACATGGCTCAGGATCCCAAAGATCTTCTAGTCCACTGGAGCTGATAATGCATTGTATTGTTTAAGGATGCTTTTGTCTGTAAGCAACAGAATATCCCATCTCAAAATAGCTAAGCATGGGACCGGCCCCGTGGCTTAGAGGTTAAGTGCGCGCGCTCCGCTACTGGCGGCCTGGGTTCGGATCCCAGGCACACACCAACGCACCGCTTGTCCGGCCATGCTGAGGCCGCGTCCCACATACAACAACTAGAAGGATGTGCAACTATGACATACAACTATCTACTGGGGCTTTGGGGAGAAAAAGGGAAAAAAAGGAGGAGGATTGGCAATGGATGTTAGCTCAGGGTGGGTCTTCCTCACAAAAAAAAAATAGCTAAGCAACAAGGACGCTTATTAGCTTATATAAATGCAAACTCACAGGAGGGGTGATCTTCAAGGACTGTTGATCTGGTAGCTCAGTAACATGGTAAAGAATCCAGATGCTTCTTGTTGCTTCACTCTGCTACCCATAGTTCTGACCTCATCCTAAGGCTGCATCCACTCACGGTTGTAGGACGGCTCCTACTGGCAGTTTTGGCCACATGCTTTCCCATATGACTGGGGAGAGGAATCCTGGCCTCTCAGAGATCTCTTGATGTCAAGAAGAACTTTCCCAGGAGGCTCTAGAAAACCTCTCTTTATGTCCTATTGGCCATGGTTGGGGCACAGGCATCTTAACTAATCCAGTCGTTGGAGAGTGGGATGGAACCATCACCTGGACCTCTGGCCTTGAATTCCATTTCTTTATCTTCTACTCTCCACCTTAGTAAACAGCACTGCCATTCTCCAGTTTCTCAGCCAAAAACCATGAATTCATCCTTAACTCCCGCCCTTGATCCATGCCCCTCAACGAAGCCATCCTGACTCATCCCTACCCATTATAGGTTGAATTGTGTCCCCCAAATTCATATGTTAAAGTCCTAACCCCCAGGACCTCAGAATGTGACCTTATTTGGAAATAGGGTCACTGCAGATACAATTAATTAAGTTAAGATTAGGTTATATTGCAGCAGGGTGGGGCCCTAATCCAATATCACTGGTGTCCTTATAAAAAGGGGAAATTTAGATGCAGAGACTGACACTGTTATGGGTTCAACTGTGTCCTCCACTCCCCAAAATTCATATATTGGTATCCTAACCTCCAGGACCTCAGAATGTGGCCTTCTTTGGAGACAGGGTCTTTCCAGAGGTAATCAAGTTAAAATGAGGTCATTAGGATGGGCCTTAATCCAATATGACTGATGTCCGTATGAAAAGGGGAAATTTGGACACAGAGACATGCATAGAGGGAATATGATGTGAAGAGACACAGGGAAAAGACACAGAAGAAGTCAGTCATCCACAAGCCAAGGAGAGAAGCCTGGAACAGATTCTCCCTCACAGCCCTCAGAAGGACCAACCCTGCCCACACCTTGATCTGGACTTCGGGCCTCCAGAACTGTGAGAGAATAAATTCCTATTGTTTAAGCCACCGAGTCTGTGGTACTTTCTTTGGCACCTTAGCAAATTAATACTCTACCCCCCTACCTCCAAAATACTTCTCACCATGTCCACCTCTCACCCCAGTCCAAGCCACCCTCTCCTCTCTCCAGGACTGCTGTAACAGCTGACTGTCCCAACTCACCAAGGTGCTCCGTGCAGCCTCTCTGAGTGGGTACCATGCTCTCTGTCAGTGGCTGGACATTAAGCCAACACTGACTGCTTAGTTTTCATGTACTCTGGTGGCCATTTGTCATCATTTTGGCTACCCAGCATCAGAAGCCCCCTTCCCTTTTGGGAGAACTTCCTGCCTTATGAGCCCTGAGGGAAACAGAGCCCACTCATTACACAGAGGTTGAACAAACTAGACGCCTGCTCTCCCAGCATCCCCTGCAGCTAGGGAATGTACATGTGACTAAGGCTCAGCCAATCAGAGCCTGGACTT